AGCTCTGGAGATATTTCAGACCTCCAGGGGCTTTAGGTTATGGTAGGAAATCCCCGAAGACAATGAAGGTGCTAAAAATGACAGAACAAGCACCACTTATAGTTGGCATATTCAATGAGCCATCCCTACATGGGCAATGTATATATTCACCCTTGAGAATGTTCATGAAGCTGCACAGTTTGTGGATCCTCTACGTTTGTTTGCGGTATTGGGGTGTTCAGCAGGACATGTTCCTCATGGCAGACAGCCTGCAGTCAGAACAAGCCTCAGACAGTTTCCCTCACAGCACATTCACGTAGCTGCAGAAAGCATCAGATGTTTGCTGTGGCCTGCACTGCTCTTTTTATCCATCTGTATGCAAGTATCAGATGTAAACACTTTTCCACCTAATCAGAAGCAGTTCTGTCAGGATATTGAATGCAAGAGCTGCGCTTCAGTCTGACAAACTCAGGTCCCACGGCAAAGCTGTCCATGCTCAGCTTCAGTTCTGCTGGAAACACATTTGCCTTGATCAAGCCGAGGATCATTATTAGTGTTATGCTGTAATTGGCTTTTCGGGGGGGGGGGGGATTCTAAAAATGACTACATAAGAGGCTAAGTGAAGTTTTTCTAGGGTTTGGCCCATTATAACACCAGGTCCAGAAAAGAGTGTGATTCACACGCATTGTGTTGATTCCACATGGTAAGCAGCTGTAGTTCCCAACACACCCTGTCCCTTTTGTATCCTAGCAACCATCTCCAGCAGCGTGGGACCTGTTGTTAGATTTCTTTCTATTCTCGACAAAATCGTTTTTGTTTTGCCCTGCATGGGGTCATGGACAGAAAGCTTTCATCAGTTTAGATTTGTTATAAATAAAAAAAAGATACAAAAGACACCGATACAACAGAATGATATATCGTCCTGAGCTCTCGCTTAGACTTGCTGAAGTAAACACTCCAGTAACGGGCAGAATGATGGACAGGAAGACCTGGGCAGAATCACAGACAGCAAGTCAGGCATCGATTTCCCCCCCACTCCATTGACCAGCTATGGCACAGAGCTGAACGGCCAAAGGGAAACCCCTGACAAAAATGATACTTTGGTTCAACGATAGTTCCAGAACAAACAACAAACTTTGTTTCTGTTCCTCATGCTATAGCTCTGTAGCCACTCAGTGCTAATGGCACCTCCGTCTGTGACGGTCACCCTCCCTCTTATCCCGCCCTTTAGCCTGGGGACACCTGGTCACCTGGCCATGGTTACGACACCGTAATGACCTGCTGAGTAGGCAGGTGGCCATGCTTCTGCAAGGAAACAGATAACTGATGCAAATGGGGGGGGGGGGGCTCCACCTGGCACTAGGCCTCCTCCCAGGGTGAGGCATGGTTAGGGGGGGGCGGATGGAAGTGGGACGTCACAGCAAAGCTCTGCGGCATGTGACCCGGCCAACCTCTACGATGCTTTCCTGAAAAGTCGCATGACGCGGCATGGTGCAGGAGAAAACCACATGGAACTCAGACGAATTCATAAACCCCAAGATACGTAACATACGTCAATATCACACACTACATTAGCACATTAACAACAGAAAACAGAAGGGGGGGGTTGTGATGCGCCGTCACGGCGTGAGTGTAGCTTTCAGTTAATAGTGTTGTTTTGCTAGCACAGCTAATTAGATGGAGCTCACAGCTGTGATAATTGACAATAAGTGCAGCTCCAGGGGAATCAGGCATAAGATGCTCTTATTAAGATGCCCAAATTTTGCGACAGGCCGAAATAAAACCCAGGGGGTGACTGGGTGGAGTTCTGTACCTTGTAAGTGCTATTAAATAGAAGCAGAGCTTTGATTACACATACAAACGACGTATCAGAGTAATAAAGGCTTGCTTGGGAACAGGCAGGTTTACTAACACAGTTTTACCTAAGGAATACCACTTTGTGTTCCTGTTGAATTATTTTGTACTTCAATATGAAGATGACAGTATAGCCTAATCCAGGTGGGAGAACTACCATCACGTACAATTCACAGCCAGCTTTATGAAGTATTTATTTGTTGCTTTTCTTGGAGGGGGTGGTTGACAAGACAAATACAGAAACTCAAGTCCATAACTGCTCCTGGAGCTCTGCTTCTCCTGCCTGGTGACGGCCGCTTGAGTAACTGTGGACAACAGGAGGTGTCCAGCTAGGTTGAATGTTGCAGCCAAATCATTAGACCTTCTGGTCCGGGATCTAAAAGGTGCACGGCGCCGGGCTGACAGTGATTTCCCCCAGCATCATAACTGCAGTCATGGTGAAGCTTTACAGTGTTCAGGAGAGTCGGCCCTCTGTGTTACTGTATGCATCTCCAATTCATATCGCCACTGAACGGAATCACCGCCACAATGCAGACATGTTACGCTGGGGAACTTCCCAGTTGGTTTTCTCTTAGAACCTCTTATAAGGTCCACCAGTCTTTCTAGAGGCCCAATGCATATTTTTCAGAAACCCTCCAGGAGCACAAGGTCCTCCAGCCCCAGGCCCCAGCTGGGAAGGACACGTCTTATGAACATGATCAAAATGATCCCAGAAGGTTCCGACCATCCACCGATTTGACTCAGTCCTACCTTTTTCCCCCTGTTTCTGCATCTTTAGTCTATGGACTTCACACCAGGTTTAATGCTTTATTGCATCTGTTCTTTTCTAGCCTGACTGCATGAAACTCTGAAAACCTGAAACCAAATGATTTCCAGAGACGAAATGTTGTTTCTGACTACAGGCAACCAAAGGCCATAAAGCTTCTGTGTTTCACTCTTAAGAGTTTTGTTCATTTGGTTTTCATCTGTCTCATTCCTTCTATCAACTTGGTGGTATCTGTGGTCTATCCTACCAGCCTCTTGATATATCTACCCATGGTCCACCAAGGCTGGACTGGATCACCTCCACGAGTAGCACAGAGCTTCAACTGAACCAAAACAGCAGAACAGGTACAGATGAGACTTCAGCTGTGGTTAAGGTTATAAAAAAGGTTTCAGTGGGTCTGGGTCCCTAACCCGGCCTGAAGCTGAATGGTGTGGCTCCTCTGTCAGGAAATGAGAGCTGGGTCAGTACCCAGGAGGGATCTGGGTCAGCCAACCCGGAAGGTGCATAGTGCTTTCTGGGACAGTGAGAGGCAAACAGGTGCTGTATCAAGTTTATGCTGTAATCAGGACACAGCAGAGGAAATGTCGCCATCATTGGGGATGATCAAACAATCGGAACCGGATTTAAATTAGATCTTCAGTGGAGTATTCGTTAGCTATGGGCTGATCCCGATTCGGGACAGTTTTACTTGCTTTCAGGGTAATTAGCTGAGGTGAATTGGTGGGGTCACATCCCTGGACTCAAAGTTTTACCACCGGAGACCAAACTGTGTAATGAGTTTGGGTCACATGTCTGGGGTGATGATGGACTACCAGGTTGTTAACACACTCCATCACCCATAACCCAACTATCAATCATTAGTGAAACCCCATGATGACACAGGGAGAACCTGCAAACTCCACACACATGGAGACTTAATCCCTGGTCCCAGAGGTGTGAGGCAACAGTGCTAAACACTGTGCCACTGTGCTGCCCCATACTAATGAAACTTTTTGTTATAATTATATAATAATGTTATATATTATTGTAATTATAACCATGGATTCTGTCTTTTGTTCCGATCTGCTCCTGTCAAATTATGGTTTAGTTGGCATGGAGACAGTTGCTAGAGTGTCAAAAAGCACTAACCTTATTCAACGACAAGTTGAGCACAATGGCCTCCTCCCACACAGGTGCTACAAAAGCCCTCTTGTGGACCCACGTCGGCCCACTTAGAAGCCCACACGTGGGTGCGTTTGCAGCCAAGCCAGCCGGTGGCACCCCGAGGCTGACTCACCCGCGTTCAGCTGGCTGAAACTGCCTCTATCACAGCTTCTGGCGTCACAATCAGGGCTCACTTGGCATAATTACCTCTCCACACCAGGGTGCTCATCAAAGCTAACTGCTGTTAGCATTGCTAAGGAACTTGCTAATGAAATTTGCCTAAATAGTGCCACAGGAAGACTACCACAGTACAGGCTAATAAGGACTCATTCAAGACAGTATCTGAAGAAATGTGGGGGTCACAATTGTCTATATTCAGGAAATGGGGCCTGTGAAATACTAAAAACAGAGGGTTGTAGATGATGACCAAGGCCTTGACATCAATTGACCCTTGGTTCTCTGGTTCTAGCATGTCGCAGCAGCAGGTGTCTGGTTTGAGAGCAACTGCTGGACAAATTTCAACAGGGGGGGTTACTGAAACATCTCCATTTATTATTTTGAAATCTGCTGAAGGTCTCAGACACCTACATGCAAGAGGCCCAGCAAAAGACTTGTATTCTTAAGGTTCCTCCATTATCAAGACATAATCAAGGTTTCAAGCATTGCACACAAAAATGCATCGTTTTCTACATGAAATTCAAATGTGCTATCATTCTGTCAGTGCCGACAAGTTATGGACTTGACTAATCTATGTCTAATTTTAAATCAAGAACAGATACATGTCCTTCAGGTTTTAATTTTGAGCGATCGACCGACAGTAGCAGGGCCGCTGCAGACGAAGGCGCCCTTCCTGGCCAGCCCTTGCAGTCTGTGAGAAGAATCCTCACATTCTCTCTGCCAGGCCCAGGAGCACGGCTGACATTGCTGCCTGGCGCCACCTCGAAAAGTGTCTCACTAGAGCACAGAAGATTTCGTGGGACCTTAAAGTGACAGCATCTTTCGGAAGCTCACTCTCATTAATTCCAGTCCGCCCACCCCTCCCCCCTCCATGTGGCTATGGGTGAAGATAGATTTAAAGAGGCGGGGGATGCGGGGGACAAGCACAACATGCATGGTAAGTGGCAAATCAGTGCCACAAGAATTGTGTGCTAGATGGGGTGCAGGTATCGCCCAAACCTGAAGTGAATGATGGATGGTGAGGGTCAAAGGTTAAGGGTGGGTGGTGATAGCCAATCACAGCTCTGTCTAGCCATCTTACCTTTTCTGACGCAGATGAGCTCATGTACTCCACAATTGCGTTCACCACCTGTGGAGAAAGTGCATCTTTTAATGACAAGGACAATGGAATGGAACACATGGCAACAACAGCTGGAAAAATACTTTACGTATGATGAGTAAACATAATTGACAATAGTGAAGACACCCCGTGTTTCATTTAAACATAAAAACAAAGCACAACTTCTCAGAGAACATAAATCATAAATAAGGATGCTGGACTGAAGGCATTTCTTCTCCATCCAAAATCATTGTTAATATCACCCACACAACATCCCCCCCTTGTCTCAACTCTCAGAAATCAATGTTCTAGTGTTACTAAGCACTCTTAAACTCTGTTTAATTATGCAACACGCTGGCAAGTGTTCTGGACGACCCAGTTTCTCTGGGTGCTGTGCGTCTGTGGATCTTGTTGCAATTAGATATGTTCCTCCACATAATTGGTACAGTATGCAGTTTGGTGTGCATACGTGGCACTGGACGCCCTTTTGAGAAACGAGCCCCAGATGTAAAGAGCGGGCCAACGCCAAGATTCACTCAAGGTCTGTTTTTGACAATCAGCGCCAAGGCTGCTTGTCCATGTTAATGAAAAGACGGGCGGTTCGATTTACTCTTAACTTGTAATAGTCGTACTAATCTTTGGTAACTGTAACTGCCCTCAACATCTTCAGGGGCTGAAATGGATAGCCAGGCCTTCACAGGCACTGATGGGATTTTCCACTTAGCCTGCCTAGAGGTTAACCAAAGCTACCATGGGGACATTCACACATTTTGCAAGAGTAAGAGTGGGAGCTTGAACAAGCTTAAATTTCCAATGTGAAAGGAATGTTGGCAGCTATGGGTGATAGCCACTACCAGTCCGGCCCAATGAAAACCCACTTTCATGACGTAGCCACCCACCATTTATGTTAGCAACCAGACATTGCAATGATTGATGTTTTACAGCACCTGGTGTGGCCTGAGTCTCTCAATGACTCATGGGAATGGGGATGATGGAGGTCAAGCCCCTTGGCAACTCACGGTGACTGGTCCCATGGTATGTGGAGCTGGCCAGGGCTATACCTTACAGTCAGTGTCATGCGATTGAGGTGACTCGAGGTGGTATTTGGGTCAGCTGATTAGAAGAGCTTCTCCAAATTCTGTTCCCAGTCCTCTCATCAAGGTAAATGTCACGCCTCGGTGGGCGGGGCCACATAACTAAGCCTCGTTACGATCACCTATTTAACCAGCACTCGGACTAACCACTGTTGTGAAGTATCGTTGCTCTCATGCGCCCTACTAAGCATTCTACCTCTCTTGTCTTCTGTGCCACGTCATCTGCCCTGCCTACCCTGCTTCATCTATGTTCCCTGGTATGCCTGTCTTCCCGTCCTGTGCCTCATTGTAGGATTGATCTCTCCGGCTCACGACCCTCTGCCTGCATTCTCGACCATAGCTTGTTGCATGCCCCTTCCTCGATGTATTCAGTAAGTCGAAGGCTTTTCAGCTCCCGCCGCACTGGTCCCGCGATTGTGTGATCAACTTACTGGAGGGGGCTCCACTTCCGAAGGTATTATTCACCCCTCCACCTCTCCCGTGACGGCTGGGTTATTCTTCGTTAAGAAAAAATACGGAGGGTTGCGACCTTGTGTGGATTACCGAGCACTCAGTGCGATCATGCGATCACCATAAAACGTAGAAAACCTCTCCCTCTTATTCCCTCCGCACTTGAACAATTGCGAGAGGCGGTGATCTTTACCAAGTTAGACTTAAGAAGTGCCTACAACCTGGTTCGTATCCTAGAGGGGGACGAGTGGAAGACCTCCTTCATAACAAGTACCGGACAATACGAATACCAGATTATGCCGTACGGATTGGCTAATAGCCCCTCCATCTTCCAAGCCTTTATGAATGAGGTTTTCCAGGGAATGATCAATTGCTTCGTCATTGTATATATAGACGACATTCTGGTATACTCGCCTTCGCGAGAGAAGCACATTGTTCGACAAGTCCTGCAGACACTCCGAACCAATAAGTTGTTCGCCAAAGCCGAAAAACGTGAATTTCACTGCACATCTCTCAAGTTTCTAGGATATAGGATTCAGCCCGGGAAGGTGGCCATGGATGAAAAAAAGATCCAGACCTGGTCTCTTTCACAATGGG